ATATGTTTTCTAATAATTGTATAAATTTGGCTTTAATTTGTTATCTCTATGTGCAAATTGTGTTTTTCTACTACAACAGTACTGAATGTGGAGTATTTTCTATATTATAAAATTAACAATTTAAAAAGCAAATTAGATTATATTTAAAACCCAGCTGAAAATAGATAAAAGTAACAAAAGTACTATTTTGATTTATCAATCAATTTATATATTAATTTTTTTATATAAATTTTGAAAAATGTGTTGAAAATTAATTATTTTTCCAAAAGTTATGCATGACTATATTCATATACTATTTATTTATACATATTTCCTTATTTTCATTTTTATTTGCAAAAACTTATTTAAGAAAATAATATAAATAATTGTCTATTTCAGATTTGTATAAGATTTTTGATTATCTATAAAATACCTCAAGAATTTCTGAAATGCAAAAAGTTTTTCATTTATACTTTCTCTGCTTTCCTATTTTTCTTTCTTTTTTCGTTTTTAAATTTTCAGCCTTCAGTCTTCCACAACCCAAACAGGGAGCATTGTTCAGCAAAAAATTTCCAGTATTAAATTTTGCAAACCACCTCTCAGACAATTGCATATATCAGACCAATGTTGTGTTCAATGCAATGTGTCTTTGCTCAGTAGAACAAGTATTGAAGAGCATTCTCTTGTTTCAATTAGAATCACCAGTTTAATACAGGTTGCTGAGAATGGTCTCATTTGTATGGCTTGTGTTGCTAGGGATAAACTGAACCAATAAATATATTAGCTCTCAGTTTCTATTTGCTGTCTGTTTCTGTAAAAAGAAGAGACACATTTTGGCAAAATTATGAGTAAAAAGTTCTTAATGTTTCTTGGGTATATGCCCATTTTCCTTTTGGTCCAGGAGTTAGGGTAAGTAAGTATAAGCATTGTATTAATGTCAAGCTCAAGTCAGCCTTGCACAAATTTGGAACAACCAAAGGAAGGTTTGTACTTACTTTATCACTGGGAGGTTTAAACATGATTATGGGATGTCTGTTTTCTTTTCCCTGATCCAGAAGTTAGGGTAAGCATAAGCATTGTTAGAATGACCATGTTTAAATCATCCTTGCATTGAGTTGGAACAATCAAAGAGAAAGCTTCACTTATTTCATAGGTGGAGGTTTTTGGAAGAAACACGTGAGCACCATGCATTGAAAAGTGAAAAGGGAGTTCAGTTGTCAGTGGACTTGGGAAATTAACATTTCCCAGTATGAACCCATGTGGTTCTACATCTGGTGAAAAAGCATGAGGCAGAAAAATGTGGAAGAGAAGATGGCTTACCTCATGTAGCAAAGCAAGCACATATATGCATGGTGTGCAAAACAAGTAAAGGAAAGGAAAAAGAAATATAGCCACCCTGACATCTTAATTTAAGAAAGACATGGTCTTGGAGCTAGAATTGGTGAGAGTGGTAGGGTGTATGCAAATTTTTTGCAAGATCAACTAGGCATAAAAACACCACATGAGAGAGAATAGTCAGTACATTCATGAACGCAGTACTGCTTTCAGGGAGAGACTTCGTCATCAGATTACTTGGGTCAGTTTTACACAATTTATTTCGGCGAAAATGATGATGGGGAAGTTTGACCTCAAACTCATTCCTGAGTTCAATGGCTCGGCGTCCAGACCATCTGTGGTCAAATGGATTGAGAAGGTTGAGTTGGTCTGTAAGATGTGCCAGGTGAAAAATCCAGAACACATAGTCCCTTTAAGGCTAATAGGTGATGCGTTCGTTATCTACCAGCAGTTGAGAGAGGAAGAAAAAAGGATTTAAGCCAGATAAAATCTGTACTGTACACAGCTTTTGCTACAGATGGTTTTTTGGCTTATGAGCAATTTACTGAGTGTTGGCACCATCCTGGAGAATCGGTAGATGTCTATCTGGTGAAGTTACGGAAACTTCCCATCCTGTTCAACAGAATGAGTGACTGTGGCCTGGCATGTGCGTTCGTCCGAGGGTTACCAGACCAGGTTAAACATCTTCTTTGCGCTTTGACATGAATGGATGAATTGTCTATTGACCAGCTGTTGAGCATGAGCAATTATGAATGACAAAGTACTGGAGGAGGTACTGGCAGTTGTGGCAGTAAAAACAACACAGGATGAGGTGAGGAAGCTTTCTACCAGAGATCCACGTGGCTTCATAACATGCTATTGTTGCAATGGTCCCAATCATTTTGCAAAGGACTATAAAGAACCACACACTGAAAAGTGGACACCCTGGATGTGATGTTACAAGTGCAACATGGTAGGCCATGTAGTCCACAATTGCTTGGGAAATGAGCCAGGGGAATAGGCCTCAGCACCAGTCTACTCCCCAAGCCCCCTACCTGCAATTGCCATATGCATCAATAGAATCACGCTAAATACAGACTGTTCATGGTCGCTCGTAAGTAGATCACTTTGTTGCTCTTGGAAGAGGAAAGAAGTGAACATGCTCACTGTTGGTGAAAGGACCTTCAGGTGCTCTGGAGTAGGACTTATTCAACTTGATGTGAACAACAGGCCCTCTATCAATGTTGAGGTTCTAGTTGTGGACGAAAAATTGCTTGGTTTTGACCTGCTGCTTGGATTTGACATTATCAAGAAGTTGGAAGGAGTATGTGTGACCAATGATGGGACTGTGAGCTGTTCTCAACTTGACCAACCCTTGTGTACAGCCATCACCATCAACGAGCCTGACTTCCATGCAGAGTATGACCAGAAAAGGAAGATCAGGTTTGTGCCTTGGAAGTGGTCTGATGACCAGACACCACCTGTGTTGAAGAATTGGACAGCCGAGTACCCAGTACCAAAGCCACTCAGAGGGGAAGTATACTCATGAGCTTCAACCTAGATGGATAACAGCTGGCTACTTCCGTATTCCGAGGAAGAACTTGGGTCCCGCAAGGGCCCAATCCCTCTAATGGCTGTGCTACAGTAAAACAAACAACTGGTCATGAATTATCAGGGGCTCAATCAATATGTTGATGTGCACACTGCTGATGCAGATGTTTGCGTGCAAAAATTGAGGGAGTGGCAACATGAAGGATCGGATGTCACCATGCTGGATTTGTGCCATGCCTATTTACAGATCCATGTTGACAAATCGTTATGGCCCTTTCAAACAGTGAAGATAGATGGGCAAAGATATTGTCTCACCTGTTTGGATTTTGGGCTCAACATGGCACTGCTAATCATGCAAACAATTGTGAATGCCATGGTAACACAGGACATGACCATCCAGAGGGCCACATCCTAGTACATCGATGACATATTTGTCAATGAGAGTGTAGGCTCTGCGGCACATGTAAGGGCACATCTTCAGCAATTCAGACTAACAAGGATTGAGAGCATTTAAAGAGTAGCACCTGTATGCTGGGATTACATGTCTGGGAGAGTCACAGGAGTGACCTCCCACTGTTACGTAACATGCTCACTTGTCAGAGCATCTTCTCCCTGTGAGGGAAGTTGACTGGAGATTTGTCAGTATGTGGCTGGCTCCACGTCGCAACTGCATTTATAAAACTCTGTGACAACTGGCTGGGATGATGAGGTGTGGGACCCACCTCTGGCTCAGATGCTGACAGACATCATTACCAGATTGGCACAGAAGGATCTGGCACCGGGTAATTGGTGCATTGATGGACACAAAGTTACTGTGTGGGTTGATGCAAACTCTTTGGTCACTGTTGTTATTGTGGAAAGCGGCAAATCTCTGGTTAAGTGAGATCTGAACGCAGTCAAGCATATAACCTAGCAGAATTCAACATGATTTTAAGGGGCATCAACATGGCACTGCAATGGAGAGCAACTGTTGTTCACCTGAAAACTAACTTGATGGGTGTGCATCAATGGGTTTCTGATACATTGTCTGGAAAGTCTCGAGTGTGCACAAAAGCGGTGACAGTATAGAATCCTCCATACTTGCCTGTCACCCCCTACAGGAAGATACACTCTTCCCCAAATTAACCTTTAACCAATCATCACTTCACTTTTCCAAACTCAACTTCCCATTGGTTAAAAGGACACAAAAATGTAGCAAGTTAAGACAAATCCTTTTTTCCTGCGCAGCTGTCTGGAGCCTATTTGAAAACCCAAAAATCTATAAAAGAGAATTGCTCGACTTAATTCAAGTCAGTCAGACACTGAGTTTCGAGAGATGCCAGCAGACTCTACACATACCAACACACTGACTTAATAACACTACCAGCCTCTCATCAACTCAACACAACTCACACTACTATTGCCGCGTGAAGAAACTTAACTTACAATTTACTAAAAAAGTGACATTATCACTACGAAATATTAATTGTACATTTAATCAATTTTAGCATATCAGTCAAAGGGACACAACTCATCATAACTTGAATCAACACTTACAATTTTCACAAACATACACACTATTATTTGAACTCACACAATTGACATTTTACCTTGCAAAAATCAACCTGTTTTAATTTCACAAACAAACTTAAACCATCAACATTCATTCACCAAATCTCTGCATGGACACTTTTTGCAATCTTATCTCACTTGCCACATTTAACAAGCAACCTATCATCATTGTGTATGTCAAATATATATAAATTCATGTTATTGCTGAAATCTATAACTATGTTGTTTTTTCCTTGATTTCTTCAAGTTGTATTGTCTTTATATGTTCGTTTAATTTAATTGTTGTGGATAAATGCATAATGTACACGCACATTTTAGGCCTTCACACAATTTCACCTTCTGACACATCTTACTCAGCATAAATTCTGCAATAACAGAAATGTTAAGAGGTTGGCTCAGCACAATCAAGGAACTGGTGGAAGAATAGAAATTAACTATTGACATAGTTTTTATCAGTGGTTAGTCATGAGGACAAAAAATATGCAAATAAAAAACCAGCAGTAGATACATCAAAATTTAAAATAAATGCCGTACCAAAAATAAAGGAAAATTTGAATTTTCCGCCTAAATAAAAGGGAAGCTATTTACAATGTACGCATAAAGTCATGACGTCATCAAAAAAGAATGTGAATTTCAGTGTGGGTTCGACATTGCTAACACCATGTGGCCTGGATGATGAGAGCGATGGATTTACGACTTGTGATCCTTCCTTTGCAGCTACAGCGATAAATGAATCCGAATTGGGGATCAGTGAAGACAGTTGGTTAACTATTTTATTAATAACTGCACAATTTGTTTTTAACGGATAATAAAGTATAGGTGTGTTTGTAACTTAAATTGTTGCTAGTCTCTAGTGATATCACTTAACTCAACTTTTACAGTAAAATTAACAAAAATGTTTTTGTTTTAATTTTTAAAACAAGTAACAGAATTGGCAAAATCATATTGTCGCCTCATTTCTTTTTTAACGTAACGATATCGCAATAAATTAAATAAAAATGGCACTTAAAAACGCACATAGTCGATTTGAAAGTCGTAGGGAATAAATAAAAAATAATTTGTTTTTTGAACTTTGGGAATAAGTTTTTTTTATTTTATAATTTAATTTTGAACTGATTTTTTTTCTTTCGGGCAACTTTTCCAGCATTCTTTTTACTGTGTCCGGTTTCTGGAAACCAAAACCGAATTCTAGCGACAGACCGAATTAGAATCCGAGGAAGGTTGAGCTTAAACTAAAAAGTAAAGACATTGATTGATCCGAAAAAATATTTCCGTAGTGAGTGGCGAAATATACACTATTAAAGTAAACTATTTAAATGAAGAAAAAAAAATTATCGTTTTGTATTTGATCATAAAATTACCACGTAGGTAATTACCAAGCTTAGTTTCATCTGGTTTAATGACGCAAAAAAAAAAAAATGTGATACTGGTCAAACTCACCAAGGTTTCTCTAATCATCAAGATAACGTATCTCTTTGCTTTGTAAAAATAAACGTGCAGAAAAAGTTCCTCGATATATTTTGTTCTCAATTAGAAATGTTTCTAAGAATGATCATCTACAAAAAATATTTTCCCGCCAAAGCTTTCCCTATTTTTTTTTTTTTACGCATGGACCAGTCTATCTGGTATTAATTAATAATTATATTTTTTAAAAAGTTTATTCATCTAATTGCAGTATAAGAGAAGCTCAATTTTTGGGAGCGGGAAAAATTATCTATAATCATAGGTAAAACATTGACATTATTAATAAAAACTAATAAGTTAGCAGTTAAGTAAGTTCATTATCTTATTTTTTTTTAAAGTGTGTTAGTTAGTGTTACTGTTATCATTGCAAGACCGGTGTAGAACATTTTTAAATTGTTCACTTTTTTTCAGGTGTTGATTTGAGAAACTTGAATAAAACTAAAATTAAATAAATTTACTTTATTAAAGTTAAAAATACAACAGATCACAAGAAAATGTGACTGCCAATTGGAAAGACTTCGGTTTTTTTCAATGTTACTTTTTCTTTTACTTTGATTGAAAAAAGAAACATTGAAATATCTTGCTAATTTAAGTCCTACAATTAGAAATTGTCTATTTCAATAAAGAAGGAAAAAGTAATTATTTAGAGATGTTGAACTTTTGACGGCAGGATTTTTCTCATTTTCAGTATGTTAATTTTTTGTTTAACACTAAGGTTCAACTTTGGTTTTTTAGTTGTCTCCCATACATTATTTTGCAATATTTTACATAGATACTTCAATGAAAACGATAAAAATCAGCACACCGTGATGATGAAAACATGCTCCAAACCAAACCAAATGTAATGAAAAGAAAACATAGTTTTATAATCGTTATTAAGAGGAAGGATCAAAGTATTTTTTGATTTAATTAAATTTTTTAACTCCTTTTTAAAACATTCGAAATTTTGCATTATTTACGTTATTCGGACTGTTATTGCCATATTCACAACATTTCGGCCGTTGTATGCTCCGGCCTTCTTCAGGTGATTGGAATTTCGAACCGAACCCTTTATTTCGTCCACTGGGGTAGATTTTTCAACCACCTGAAAAAGGCCGGAGCATACAACGACCGAAACGTTGTGAATATGGTAATGAAGGTGAGGATAACAGTCTGAGTAAATAATGCAAGAATCATACCTTATCTCAGATATAGACAGGTATTCGAAATTTTGATTAAAAACTTGTTTTTCTTGCGTCAGCGGTTAATTAACTTTCAGCATAGCAAATTTTAGCCTCTTTTTGGCAATGACAAGCACATTCATTTGGAAATTCTTGCAAAAATCAAATAATTGTCGGATTTTAATGAAATTTTCAGGACTTGTTCACAAATGAATGAAATTATTATTTTTATTAGAAAATCCTTGTAAAAATGTTTTTTTACATGTGTTTCAGCTCCTTACTTAATTTTATGAAATCTTGAGAAATTCATTGTGATAATTTTTATTTTTTAGTGACTATATTAGTTAAAAGCAGAATTCTTTGAAGAATTTAAATCACAAATTATTTTGCAAAAAAATCGAAACATGAACAATGCAATAAAACTAAGATATCTAATTAGAGAAGCTTTTAAATTGCTTTTATGTAGGTATCTCCACGAGATCGCTAAAAAATAGCATAGCATGATGAAAAAGATGCCAAACTTGATGAAAACAAAATTTTATCATCTAAATGTTTGTTATTATTAAGAGAAAAGATGAAAGTATTTTGGGGGTATTTTTTTACATTTTTTAATTGTTCCTAGCACATCCGAAGTTTTCATTAAAAATCTTGTTTTTTTTTTGAGTCAGCAAAATTGACAGATGGCAACAATTTTTTTTCCATTTTATAAAAAAAATGAAAATCTCAGTTTGAAATTCTTTTAAATATCAATTATTTTTTCAAAACTTATTTTAAGAAAATCAGAAATTATAATGTTTATTTAAAATATTTTGAACCAAGCGCTGAAAAGATGTAATTTGAAAATAAAACAAAGCTGGTCATAAATTTTTGCATCACTTGACAGGTGATGAATGACATGTTGACGGATTCTGTGAGGATAATTTGTTCTACGGAAGGAGAAAAGTGAAATTATTTACATTTAAATGAACAAATTATTTACCTCGTTATTTTTAAGGAAAACTTTCAGCACTCTAATTTTTTTTTTTTGTTTTTTGTACTTAGCTTTTAACTTTATGTTTACGATGCTTTATGGAAAATATATTATAAAGAAATTAAAATAAGACTGTTAAGAGTTAGATTAAATTTCATAAGAAAGGTATCTAATTAATTTATAGGTACCTTTCTTATGAAATTTTATCAGAAGTGTACATAAAATTATAGTATTTTATGTACATTTACTACATTTTACTGTGTTATTTGTATTTCCATTCATCTTATTATTAATTTTGATATTTCATTTATGGAAAAAATGCCATAACTGAGATTAATATAAAAATTAGATCATATAAATTTCATAAGATGATACTGATACTTTTAGGTACCCTTCTCAGTTGAAATTGAAAAATCAAATAAACTTCTCCATACGTGTTTCACAAAAGTAAAGGCCTTAACAGTGGAGAACAATGCTTAACTCAAATAACGCAACTTAATTGTATTCTGGTTGGTCTTCTGTACTTTATAATTAGAGCCCAATTATAAACACAAAATTACATTTCTTAATTACTACGGGTCTTCTGATAAGTCAAAACAATACATTCATTTTCAATATGATAATTTTTAGGAAATATTAAGTAAAACTATATTTACTAAACATATATTGTAAAGCTTATTACAATTTGATGACCCCCAATTATTTTTAAAAGAATTTCAATTTGTTTTTGTATGTGTTTACATGGAGAATTTCTGAAGTATGAATGTACAAACCAATAAATCTATTATTAAAAGGTCATGTGTTTTAAGGGTTGTTCTCCCTTATAAAGTTTATCGCCTACTTGACATATTTCCATGACATCACACATTTCAGCATGGACTATAGTACTTGTACTGAAATTTTATACATACATAAGTTATATAGAGCATTTTCAAAGCTGAATACTTTTGAGGAAACTTGTAACAATTTTGTGTTGAAAACTGTATATTTATTTTATTTTTCTATTTACAAAAATATTGCATGTGTCATAGGTTTTTATTTTTACAGTAGACAAAAATATGCAGATTTATTTAGCAAAACATAAGCTCTTTAAAAATCACAGAAGTTTCAGATATTATAAACAATACATATACTGAATTATTTATCAAGATTTATCTCACAGTCCTTGAGGATATCTTAAGCGTCTACTTTAAAAAAAAATTGATTTTATTTTTATTAATATAAAAATATTAATAAAAATAAAATCAATTTTTTTTTAAAGTAGACGCTTAAGATATCCTGAATGCATTTAACATTTATTTTTTTAGCAATTTTAATCTCTCTCCAAAAATTTGAGGTTATATTCTGAACAAGTGTGTGGTTATCAATATCATAAGCTTGTTCTATTCAGCAGTTACTCTTCTTAAACTAAATTTTATATTCAATATAATTTAAGTTACTTGTAATCTGATACATTGATTGTGATAAAATTGTTAATTTTGTATTGATATTACTTTAACAATATTTTTGTAAAATTGTACAGTCTCCACTTTGCCAATGGTATAGGTGTAGACATGGACCCCTTTCCTTTAAAGCTAAAAATGACTGATGAATTGAACTGAAACATTATATTATTACTTGTTTTACTCCATCTTATTATTGTTGCTTTTTATCCCAACACTCTGGATCCATACACTCTTCATTATTACTATTATTATATTATTAGTTTTACTCTATTTTGTTGATGTTTATCACAATACTCTGGGTGAGTATATATTTTCACAGCTTTTAGCTTAGGAGACATCCATGAAAGACAATAGCATTGGATATAAGTTTATAGGAGCCTCTTCATTATTTCCTACCATTCTTAAAGAGTACATCTAGTGTTGCAATAAAAAGAGTGAGCCAAAATAGTAAGTTGAAATGCTTGTTCTAAAATATGTAACAGAAAAGCAGTAAACCATACGCTATTTGACTTGTTTGAATATTTTAATTAGACCTGAACTTTTGGAGCAGTATGTATGTGTATTTATATAAACTTGAAGTATAAACTTAAAAAATATCCAGTAATAACAAATTTACTCACAATATATTGCTTTCATATTTTTTGATCTTAGGCTCAAAAGTTTTTTTATATGTAACATTGAATTTTAATAAATAAAGTGATCTCATTTTTTATTGACAAATTGACATTTGTTTTTATTTATAATAAAAATTGATTGATTGCATAAAATTTTTAGATTGCAATTATTGATAGAAAACCTGTATATCATACTGATAATCTTATTAACCCTCAATTTTCTTTTCCAATGAAAATAGATGCTTCACTATGTTTCTAGTATTAGTTGAGAGCAAGGTAGTAGCTCTTTAGGTTCACTTTGGTTTGGAGGTAATTATTTTTAAAGTGCATTATATTTAATTCCCATGAACTCTAGTAATTTATATCTGCAATGATTTCTATATATTTTAGTTTTCATTTTTTCACTTGCCATGAATTTCTTTATACTTTTACAGATTATAAAATGCTATAATTTTTAAATCATCTGATTAACATTTCTTTTTTCTTAATATTTAGCTTCTTCAATGCTCTGTCTATCTTCTGATGAAGTAGACAGACTGAAAGTTTCTAACAACAACCCGACGAGTGACTTCTTTTTAGAATCTACAATTTCTGATAAAATCAATGAAAATGATTATGGTGCAGGTAGCATTTTTGCACCAAACAGCACACTGTTAGGTGATGAGATAGACTCGGTGAAAACCGAGGAAAATTTCACCAGTGGTCTGAATCCTGGCAAACAACTGGAGAAGGAAACAGAAAAACCAAAATGTGAGCCACTTCCGAAAGTTGCCTCCAAAATCAGTGAGATTCTCCAAAAGAGACCATTGATGGCACCAACAGCAGGAAAACGATTATATCCACAATCTCTTCCATTACCTGAGGTAAGAAAATCTTTGATACTTTTAATCTCTCTCTGATTATCCAAATAAGTTTTGTATCAATGAATTATTTGATTATATTTCACTTGCCAATCTGAAAAAAGTGACAAAATTAAAAGAAAAATTAACTTTTAACTTTTTGATTGATATTATTTAATTTTTCACAACAAAATAAAATGATATAAATTAGATTCAAAATTTTTATTTTATAATTTCTCAACTTGCCACGCCTGAAAAATTGTTATGCTCTTGAAATTAATAATACATTAGAGAGTGAGGAACAGAAGACATTGAGGCTCTCATTTTAAATTACCACTTATTTAAAAAATTGTTGTCGTTCTGAAACTAATGACTCCTATTTCATATTGGCATATAATATTAGAGGCAGATGTTGGTGTTACATGTCTGGTATGAAAGTGTGTATGTAGCAGAGATTTATTGAATTTCTCCATGCATATAAATTTGCGCTCATTGATATTCACTGCTTCCAAAACAGGTAGTGGATAATGCATTTCAACATTAGCAAAAGTGATGTGACAAGCCACATTCAAGCAGTGCTGCACAGCTGTCAATTCACAAAATAAAGGGAGCCTTGAATAAGCATAGCCAATAGTGTTGACTTTATAGAAAAATAATGTTTTTGTGCTGAAAAATTACATCAGAAGTCCAAGAGAGCCAGAGTAGCATAGCCTAAAATTGTGCATAAGATGAGCAAATTGTGAGTGAAGCAAACCATATGAGCATCGGCACTGGAATGACACGGCACATACATCACTGAGGCTGTCAGTGTGCGCAAGATGCTAATTTTCTGGCTTGGTAAAACAAAGGAGGTGAATGTTTGCTGGGATGGCAGTAAACTATTGTGCTCAATGCAGTTCAAATCTGTGTCTTGCAGTGTCTGCTAAACCAGAGTACCTTGCTATTGTTGTTCCAGTGTTTATGCTACAGAAGAGACTGTTTCCTGCTACAGTTTTGTAGTTAAAAATTTACTCCATCCAATGGTGCTATTATGCTGTCTGTATATGGTGTGATTTCTTTGGAAACAAACAGGAAACATTACTTTTGAAGCATCCCTCATATTTATGTGACATTTTCTTTTTGATAAATATGTCTCTAAATGTAAGGTGAGTAACTCTTGTTTTATATTGCACCTTTTGAAACAATACACTTGATCAAAAAATGTTTCTCTTTTTTTTCTCTTTTCATTTCTTGCTTACTGTAAAATAATCACAACGATAATGGTAGTAGTAATTCTGAATTACATTATTCTCATACCAACGTGATACAAATCCAAAAATGCACTTAGTCTCTGGCTACTCACCTGTTTATATAACACTAGAGGAGGTAACTTATGTCCTTCAGTATCTGCCTGTGGAAGTTCCCCATTATCTAATGAGACCTTCCATTTCTACTCTACACTTACTAGCTTGAAATGTAGCATGTTTATTTTGAAGATTAAAATATGAGTTTTTAATCCTCTTGTTTCCTTTTCATATGTTCCTTATGAAGGATTATGTTTTTTTTTTTCATTTTTAAATTTTAGCCAATCCAAGTGAACCATATAATTGTGATTCAACCAGGATCTCAATACCTTCGTATTGGACGAGCATCTGATCCTTTTCCTGTTGTTATCCCTCACTGTATTGCTCGTCGGCACAAGACACCTGGTCAGAAAAGATATGATGATCCATGGTTAGTTAGAAAAGAATGCCAGGTAATGACAGTTTTAATAATTCTATTGAATATGGTGATCAAGTGAAATACATACATATAAAACCTTTTATACCTAAAGTTAGATATTCCTTTTAATTAGCTTAAAAAAACTTTATCCCTTTATAATTCAGAAGACCATTTCATCTATCTATACATATATAAAGGGCAGTTATCTGTGTCTGTGTGTGTATGTCTGGTTAAAACTAAAAAACTACAATAATTAACAACAAAATAAATATATATACAGACTCTGTATCACCCAACCCACCGTTTAGCAAAAAAATTATTGTATGATTTGTATTTGTGAAGGTATTTTAAAATTAAAAATATGTAATGCATTTTTAGCTGTATAAGCATTTTGAAATTCTCAGAATTAAAAAGTATAAACAAACGGGAATAGTTATTATTCCCATTCATTTTTATTTTTTAATTCTGATAATTTTGAAATGCTATATGTATTTTTAAAATTTCTATTCTCTTGAATATATTGCCATATCTATAGTAAATAAAGACGTAACTTTAAAAAAATGAATATTAAAACAACAAAGTAAATTTAAAAGAAAAAGAATATTAAATACAATTATTTGAATAAGTTTAATATTTATTTATTCAAATATTCAAAACAAAAATTGTAAAAACACAACAGAATAAATTCCATTAGATATTTTCTGGAGGAATTTTCAGTAGCTTTAATACAATCAGATATTCCACAAACATATGTCATCTTTTTTGATATTTTTAATCAGGAAATTTTTAACTCACTTTTACCATTTTATTGAAATTAATATTTTTTAAAAGTTTAGATATTTTAAAAAATAAATGCAAAAACAAACAAATTATTCTAACTAAATATACACAATCATTTTAAACATGCTGGGGTGGGGACCATAAAAATGTTACAACCCAGCATACATACCTGCACTTTTAACAGTAATTATAAAACCTTATTAAAGAGAAAGCAATAAAAATCTTTGGCTTGAGAACAGAAGAGAATGTAGAAGTAAAATACCCATTACAAATATTTACAAATCCACCATATCTAAAATCCCACTTTGGACAACAAGGCAGCCCAAAGTGCTCCTCTATCTAAATATGAGCTCAAACCAAAATACAAACCGAGTCACTTTTCAAGAGGAGCTACAAAACATCCAGAATATGTGCACATCTATACTGATGGTTCCAAAGACAGTGACAGAGTATGATGTGCTGTTATTTTTAATAATGCAACAATTAAAAACGGCTCCCAAATGAAGCCTACATATTTAGTGCAGAAGCATGAGTGACAGATATAGTCCTTGATGTGATCACCTAAGAAAAATCTTCAAAATTTATCATCTTTTCTGATTCCATCTCAGTATTAATATCTATCAAAAACAAAAAGTTGGAAAAGTCTTTAATAGCTAAAATATTGGAAAAAAGTTCATGTCATCTCTACTTTCAAAAAAATTCTGTTCATCTGGATTCTTAACCATGTAGGAATTTAGAGCAATGTTAAAACAGACGAAAGTGAAAACATGCAGTAAGACTAGTTCCTGAAAATTATCACATCACATATACTGACCTAAAATCATTAAGAAAAACATACAAAATCAATGGCAGGAATAATGGAGCAGAAAAATGCAAAATAAACTAAATACAATCTTACCAAGCCTCAGAAAAAAACCCTGCCATTATGGAAAATCCCAAAGGGAAGAGGTTACTATAACATAACTATGAATAGATCACACTAAAATTATGCATTCATTCTTATTGAAACAAAAAGAACCACCATGGTGTCCTACATGTCACAACACCCAATATACAGTAAAACATTTTCTAATTGAATGCATTGATCTTGACTCTAAAAGACAATTTCTTTCTGACAAACAGGCTAAAAGAAATATTTGAAAATATTAAAATTAAATAGAATTAGAATATTCCTGAAATCAGTTGAATTATATCTAAAAACATTAAAAAAAAAAAAGTAAAAAAGCTTTCCATTTTCCCTAAATGTAAATCAAAATAAATCAGTTTTGGCATAAAATGACACTAAAGAGTTGATATGCTGTTAAAAATCTACTTAAAAAAAATAATTTAGGTTACCCAGATCAATATACACCTGAGGAAATGTAATAAAAAAAAACACCAGCCAAAATATTGTGATAAAAGCAACACAGATGAGGACAATAATCCAAATATAAATAGTGTAAATAACATTATTTTTAAATTTTTTATTTTTTTGTTACTCATACATTTCTTCAGCATTCATTGTAGCATGCCTGTGATAAAGTAACATTTTGTGAACTAGAGGAGAATAAGTTAACATTAGAGATTAGGGAAAAAAAAAAAAAAAAAAAAAAAAAAGTATCTAACTAGTAAGTGACTCTGTGTATTCCTGAAATAGAATATTTAAATATCTAATACTTTAGTTCTGAAGATTTGTCATTGTACAGAATTCTCATCAGAGGAAAGATAAACAAATAAATGATATAAGGGTCAGCTTGACAGTCACACTTGAGTATTATATTACATGTCCTAGTTTATAAAAAAAAAAAAAAAGAAACAGTAAAGGATGGATGTTGTAGGTTTGAGTAACTTTTCATTTAACTGTGAATTAATCATCAATTACCAATATGGAAAGGGATTACTTGTAAAAGGAATTTATCCCTCCAAAATATTTCAGTGAAAATTTTCATCTGATAGTAAAATTGCAGGCATGCAACTGCAGTTTTATTTTTTTCACTTTTTTCCTCTCACCGTTTCAATTTTGAACAAATTCCTTTGTCAAAAATAAATTTTTCTTAATAAGGACAAAAAAGCAGTCATGAAATTTTAACAATTAATGTGATTGGGATTTAACACTGCATGAAAAAAATCTTCATTTTAAAAAGTCTCAAAAACCAATTTTAAAAGAAAAAATATCAACAACTTGTAATGATGTCTAATCTTTTTTATATTTTTCAATTCTAATCTTAAATTAAACTGATGCAAAGTTACTGTATCATTTTATCAGATTGTTTCAAATAAATTTGCCAAAAACACTTTGATGTTTATATCATGAAAATGGCACAGTAACCCCCCCCTTTAAGATATAGAACAAAATCACTGCTGGGTTCATACATTTCTATTTTAATATCAATGCAAACAAAGATCCAGTGTTTTAACATGGCTTTTTTTTTTTTTCTTCATTTTTGTCATTAATTTTATTATGATAGGGAATTTTTACAGAATTTTTAAAGAACTAGACTTTTATCAAAAAAAAATTTTGTTCTGTATTTGATTTTGAACAAATTTTAAATACATCTCTGAGGAAAATTTATATCTATTATTTTTGGTTTAAAGTATTAAATCATTTTTAAAAAAAAACTTGTTCTCATCCTTTTTGTCAGAATGAAAATATGGATTTTGTTTCATGGACTAAAACAAGGTGAAGAAGTTCTTAATTATGTGTTGGCCTAATCCCCTTGGAGAAGAGTTATCTGTCAGCCATTTCACAAAAAACAGGTTTTAAAAATTAATTATCCAGTTGATAACTTAAAACTATATGATGAAAAAATGCCCCTTGTAAAATGAAAAAAAAAAACAAAAAAACAAAATTTTCGCAAAAAAATCTCACAAATCAGTAACATTTTAAACAATCATAGAATGTCAAGTTCTTAAAAAAACCTTTGCCAAAGTTTTTCCTGAATTTTATGATGACTTGGCTGTCTGAAAACGATAATATCAAGATTTAATTCAATTTGAAACTTTGTGAAAAATACAATTATGCTCATCAGGTTTTCGAAATTATTTAACTTATTACTTACCTTTTAGGGCGACTTTATTCTGATCAAGTCGGCTATAAGTTTGCATTGGAATTATTCACTGGTAATTATTCATGATTTGGCTTTTAAATAAACTCATTGGTTATTTGTTAATCAAAATTCATGCCCCCATATTTTGAGAAAAATTTTATTTTAATGAAAAAATATTTATTTTCGCTTCAAAATTGTCCTTTCTTTTTTTTTTCCTTTTTTTTTTTCAGCTTTTTCTGATATGAACATCATTGAATAAAAAAAATTGTCTAAATGGACACATACACCTTAAAATATTAAAAATGATAGTATATTAAAAAACAATGTACCACTAATGACTTTAAACTTGCCATGTCCTCCATCAATATACTTAAAAACAAAACCAAACTGCATGCCATTGTTCAAACATAGTTATATCAAACCCACACACATGGTGAACCCTTTTTTTTCACTGGTTTGCTTTTATCTGGGAACAATATAAATTGTTTATTTCAACTTAAATAAGTAGATTGTTAAAAAATTTTACTTTGAACATTCTCAACCTGGCTGTTATTTTTCTTGGACCTAGACGTCAAAGTCAATTAGGTTTAAACACTTGATCCCTTTTTTTTGGAAAAAAAAAATACATGATTTCTGGTTTAGGAATTGCTTTTAAATTTGATGCCTTTTACTAAAGGCCTCATGTGGCTGTTCTGTTTTTTTTTTTTAAAGTTTGCAACTGTTTGAAAATTAACAATGGATTTTACATATTTTGTTGTTTGCAATGTTGATTTCCTTCAAAACTCTAAATTTTATGCCTGAAATAATTTGATTATGATTTATTTAATTTATTTAGACAAAAAAAAAACTTAATTTCCTATTAATTTAGGGGGAAATATTTGTTTAAAAAAAAAAAAATGTTAAATTTTCACTATTTTTTAAATTTTACCCACTTAAAAAATTTTGAGCTTCAACAATACATCAGCTAATTTAGTTTTAAATGAAAGAATATATCCTTTGCTTTACTAAAAACCGAGTCACTAGAGGTTCAGATCAAAAGCCTTGATAAATTTAAATGATGATAAAACGGTCATTTTTCAATTTTCTATTTTCCCCTTACAAGGTAGTATGAAAATCCATTTTTTGAAAGAAAATAAAACCAGACAAAATGACTTTTGCCATTTTCCATTGATTTTTCTTGGGAAAGAAAATTTTTACTATAGTTTAAATTGACTTTATTTTAAGTTCAGTTTTATATAGGAAACCTCAAACATAGCTGTGTATAACTGTTTTGCATTACATACATGTGCTTATTTGAATGATTTTATTTTTTGATTTTATAGATTATTTTTTTATTACCTTTTGCATTAATTTAATATTGAAAATTTCTTGGCATTAAACTAGTTAATTTATCTTGAAAGTTTAGATTTTGCTAAAAATATTTTTATTGATTAAAACATGCAAGAAAAGTTTTCTTACATTCAACCATTTTTATACTATGAAAAATTCAAAAAATATTTACTAAATTGCCTACAAAAATTTTTTTTTTTTTTTTTTTTTTTTTGCAAACAACAATAATGTTGGTTTATTGAGTATTTGATATTAAAATAATTGTAACATTACAGTTTTTTGAAAACTTTAATTTTAGTCCCAGAATCATTTGTTGTTGAATACATCATTATATTTTGGATCATTAAGCATTATTGTTTTAAATTGTTTAAGGACACTAATACTTATCATCAAAAAAGAAAAAGAAACTGAAAATTCCTTGGACAATTATTTTTTTTTCTTTTTTTTTTTAACTCAACATGCTGGAAATTTTTTTATGCCTGGGGACTAATAACACCTAATAAAATTTTGAGACAATGGATGGCAAGTGATGAATGTGGATGACTATTGATAGTCTTGGAGAAAACAGTTCTATAAAATATAATGAAATTTATTCATTGATCTTTAAATAAGAAAATAAAATATCAGATATTTAATAATCTGAAAATTATTAAAATGTTAATTTCTTCTTTTTTTTTTATTATTTTATTGCATTCTTTTTAACATTGTTTACATGTTTATCATTATAACCTAGCTCATTTATTGATAGAATAGTTCAGATGTTTATTATTATAACTATTTGACTTCCAAAGAAAAAAATGATACCTAAGTTTTAAAAATGCTTTTTTATAAATGAAAAATCTTGAAGTAAAAAAAAATTTTAATTTAAAAAAATTGATTAAATTTAATATTTTTAATAATCAAAAATACTTTGTTTCAAACAATTTAAGTTGATTGAAATTAATTTTTTTTATTATTAAAAAATTTTAAAATTTTCCATATTTCTTCTGACAACAAAGATAATTTTTATTTAAAGAAATGTTTAGAAATAGAATATTTTTATACCTGGAAAGATTATTTCTATTAAAGTTTAATTGATACTGATTTGAAACAAAGGCTTTATTTTAGTTTAAAATAGATTTGTTTTTATGAGATTTGACCACTCTCTTATGGACATGTTTCAATAATTCATTCTAAGGGACCAGGTGGAACAATTAACTGCAAATATAATATTTGGAGATTTTTATCTCATTTTTTAATTAGACCAAGCTAATAATTTAAAAAGAGCTAAGTCTATTATTGTAATTTGTTTTTGGTAATTTGGCTTGTTTTTGCTTATTTAAAAATGTTTTTTTTTTTTCCAAAAATTTTAAGGACATTTGGATAATTTTTTTATTATTTTTGATGAAATTAAATTCTCTTTTTTTTTATAATGTTTGAGAAATTTATAAAAATCTTTTGAAAAAATTGTCTATATTAATAAATTTTTTTAAAATATTAGGGTTATTGTATTGTAACCAAATGTTTCAATTATGATTTGTAAACATATAGTTTTAATTTAATAAGAGTTCACTTGTCCACTAAAAATTAATACAGAATTTTAATTTAAATTTTTTAAATTAATTTAATTAAATTTTTAAAAATTAATGAAACAATTCTTGTAAAATTTATTTTTCATTACAAAAATTTTATTTCTGAAATAGTGTCACAGCTGTTTGAGGTTTTCTATAGCCCCACTGAACTTAAATAAAGTCAATTCAGGTTTGTTATGGTAAAAATTTTTTCCTAAGTAAAAATCATCACAAAAATGGCAAAAGTCATTTTGTCACAGCTTATTTTCTCTCAAAAATGATTTTCATACTTTTATAGGGGTAAAATATTGAAAAATGACTTTTTATCATCATCTAAAAACAAATATCAAGGAAACTTTTGATCTGAACCCATGAAACTAGGTATTTTCTGAAAGCAAAGGATATATTCTTTCATTTAAAAGTAAAATTGGCTGGTGTAAATGACTCAAAATTTTTTTTTTGAGGGTAAAATTTGAAAAAAAATGGTGAAAATTTTGCATTTTTCTAAAACAAAAATTTTCCCCATTAATGGAAATTAACCATTTTTTTTTGAAAATCAGAAAGCCTAAATCATAATCAAACTATTTCAGGCATAAAATTGAGAGTTTTGAAGGAAATCAACATTCCTGACGGGTCAAAATGCGACACAGTCCATATGACTGCTAGGGGTTAAAAAAATTGACATCTGGCCACAGAAATCTTTAGTAAAAGGTGAAAGATTTATTTGTTATTCCTGGCCACTAGAAACCAAAAGTTTTTTTGTTTTTTTTTTTTCCAAAAAATAGCAGCGATAAGGAAAATTAAGCCAAATTGACTTTTACATCTCTGGGTCAAAGGTCAGCCATCCAGCAATAAACGTTTAGAACAAGTTATCGTCAGCTTGTAATAAAACCCACCACTCCCAGATAAGAGCAAAGAGTGAAAAAAAAAAAAGTCAACATTGGTAGGGCTTGATATAACCTATGTTTGAACAATGGCTTGATGTGTTTTGTTTTGTTTTAACACCCACCACCCGCCTGACAACAACATGAGAAGATGACATTGTTTTTTTTTTGCAGATGTTTTTGTTTTTTAATCACCATTTAGCCATTCCTTTTATTCAATGATGTTCATCGCCAAGGAGAAAGGGATGACATTTGAATATTATTATTTTGAAGTGAAAATAAATATTTTTTCATAAAAAAAAAAAATGTTTTTCTCAGAAAATTGGGCACGATTTCTTAATGCTAACCACTGAGTGACATTTTCCACAGTCAAATCAAAGATTAATTACCAGTGAATAATTCCATGTGCAAGCGATAGCCGTCTGGATCCTATAACGTCGCCCAAAAAGGTCCAGAAGTTTACTGATTGATCGAAAACTTGTTGCGCATAATTGTGTTTTTCACGGTCAGTTTCCATTATTTCATCTTGATGTTGTCATTTTCAGACAGCCAAGTTAACAAGGATTCAGGAAAACAGTTTGGCACAGGTTTGCTTTAAGAACTTTACATTCTATGAGGTGTTTAAAATGTTACTGACGAATGGGATTTTTCGCCGAATGTTTTGTTTATGTGCCATGTTGGATTTTCCTGTATGACAAAAACAAGTGTTTTAGACATCCGTGTAGGCAACACTGGATCCTATACTGCCAAAGTAAATGCTAACCAGGATTTTTTAGTGTGTAATTTTAATTTAGATAATTAACCTCAAGTAGAAAAGATGCACTGAATAAATGAGAACCATTTCACAAATATATTTGACTACATAACAAAGTAGTCACCAATTGCCAGTCCAATAGTTACAAAATTCTTAAACTCATTATTTCTTCAAAGAAGAAACTTGTAAGGTTTCATTTTGTTCCAATTTAATTCACAATACTGTATTCTGACTTTTTATTTTTGTTTATTCTTGTAAGGATTATCGTTGTGTTCTTCTAATTCCTGATGTCTACATACATAAACATGTGAAGGAAATGATGAATCTGCTTCTCAATACATTAGGATTTTCTGCTGCTATCATTCACCAGGTAATCTTATTACTTCTTTATTGTCATTTTGAAGATAAATTGTTTGACCTTTTAGGGAATACATATTTAAATATTTTACTTCCTATCATTAGTTACTAGTACAGATAGATTGGTTTGCAATTACAATCAAATATATATATATATATATAAACTAGCTCCTGCAAAGGGCTCTTGATTGATCCTTCATCACAATAGGTAGGGAGGAGTAGATGCGATAGGCAACAATAAACTACAGAAGAACTCAAAATTGATCACTGCATTTAAGTATTGCATTAATATCTAAGCTTACCTTTACTTTAAGTTCAACAATGATTCTTTTGCTGCCATTTAATTTAAAGACAATTTGATGTATGTAGGCCCTTAATCTCTGCACAAACAATTATTTTTATTTCATGGGTGACTTTCCCTGGATTTCTCAATTAATTTCAATTATTTCAAAATTATTTCCAACTTATAAAAATTGTTATTGTACAAAAAAAATTGTTGCAAATAATCACAGTAATGAAAAATTGAGAATCCCAAATTTCAGGATTGTGGGCCCTGATCTGGCCCAGAATGTTTTTAATTTGCTCATGGAGTCAGCCTGATTCCAAAATGGTTTGATATGTTGAGCTATGGCCTCTAGGAGTAAAGTTGAAAAAGTGACACACTGACATTCGCATTTAATATATATATATATATATATATATATATATATATAATCAGGATTAGTGTGTGAAAGCAAAGAAATAAACAATCTTCAAACACTGCTCTATAAATTTAGATAAATTTTATTATTGTGTACTTGTTTTCTTTCAAATTGAAAGAAACGAATTACAAAGATCCCTTGTAAAACAATGTCACACAAAAATATTTTGTTTTTCTTTCTTCACAATACAACTGAATCAATTGTGTTAGTGTGGTAGGAGAAACAGAATGTGCCTGCATAAAGAGATTGTCATTATCTGTCTATATTTCTGAGATGAGGTATTATGTACACTATTTACATTATTCGGACTATTGTCCTCATCTTTGTTGCCAGTAAAATATTAAAATGTTTCGAATAATAAAAATGCTTCGTCTTAACCGTGTATTGAACTCAAACTCCTTGGAGAACTTTCAGAGGGGAATTAACAGGAGATAACTGATAACTGACATTCATTAAACATTGCATGTGGAACTAGAACAGTCTACCCCAGTAAATTTAAATAAAGGGTTCAGTTCAATTCCAACCACCTGAAGAAGGCCGGGAAAAAATTAAATAAAAACATTGTAATAAATATGGTGACAAAGATGAGGACAATAATCTGAATAATTTAAATAGAGATTGTCATGTATTTATGTTGTTTTATGAATGAATGTAATTTTCTAGTAGCCATCATATCAGCAAATGGGAAGCTGTGTTATAGCTTCTACTAACATTTGTTTACAAACTCAGTTCATATGTTTCAAGTGTGCTTAATTTGCTTTAAAGCTGTTAGGCTTTGTAAGAATTTACTTGAATAAAATGTGTGAAATGTAACGTAATAAATTATACAAAAGGTTTTGAGAATTCAGCTTGTCCACGACAACAAACAAACAACCTTGGTCAAAGGTTTACAGAAAAACTTTGTTAATTTACATGATTGTATTTATAAAGAAAAAATAGGCTCCAGAAATCTAAAAGTTCAACTCAGAAGTTTATTGGTTAATAAATATTTCTCCCAATTTTTAAATATCTATATTTAAGAGGGAAAATATTGTTGATCATTTTCTGGAGTGATCCTACAATTTGTAGTAGACAATAAGCATAGTTGTTAGTTTTACAAAGGCTTCAGTGCATTTAAAAATAACATCATTGATTGGTTAATATGTGCAAATGTGGACATTCAAATTGGAGCCACTTTTTGCACAAAAATGAGTTAATTTTGCATTTAAGTAATATTACTTAAATCTATTGAATTTTTCTATAACTTTTTAACAAAGTTTCATATATATACACACACACACACACACACATCTAATAGTGCGTGTGTGTGCATTAATAAGTCCATAGTCTAATGGTAATAAAACATATTTTACACAAATATTTTTCAATATAATCTCTTCCTGTGTCAATGCACTTAATCCAATGCTTCTGTATTAGTCATATACATTGAACATTACATAGTAAAACTTTTGGATTAAAATTTAGGTAATAACTATGTTAGGCTTATTGAAGCACCTTTGTATACCAAATAGGTGAGAGGAATATATCTTATTTTCTTCTATAAGTAGATTGATTCAAATATTTCAGGAGTCAGTCTGTGCAACATTTGGAGCAGGAGTTAGCAGTGCTTGTGTAGTGGATGTCGGAGACCAGAAATCTAGTGTCTGCTGTGTGGAAGATGGCATTTCACACAGAAACACAAGGTAATACTATTTTTATCTGAATTTCTGAAACAAGGTATTATTATAATACATGGATTGTTCAAACCAGTTTCCTCATCTTTATCATGTGTTTCAACCACTCTACCCTCTGGCCATTTTTAAATGTCTATCACTTTCAGTAACATCCTGGGTATGTCAAATTTATTTGAGCCATAGAGATATGATGTTCTCGTTTCTATACTTGTAATGGCTAGTGTCTTTCGGAGGGAATTTCAGAACTCATAACCATCAATTTTTCCTTATGATGCCAATATCTATCTCTCCATTCAACCAAATGTATATGTCTACAAAATTTAACTTAGAAATTGAACCAAAATGAGCTTTGTTTGTATTTTTCTCTATCCATTAGTCTATGTCCTTTGACTCATTCTAGTAATAAAATGGATTAAATAAAGACTTCCATTTGAAAATCCTCAACAGTTATTAAATATTGTGATAGGCAACTAAGAAAAGCTGGAGAATGTATCAGCTTGAACTTTGTGATAATGATAACATAATGGAAACTGGCTTGAAAGCATCAAAGTTAAAGATAAAACCATTCAAAAAATGTTATCTGAAATTGAAAAACATTGTCAAAAGTTATTTAATCATTTTACATTGAAACTGTCTTAAACATAAATTTTTCTCCATTTCTGTCTAATTTTTTTCTTCCAATTTATTTTATAAAGGTTATATTTTATTGTTACGCTTTTTGTCTATCTTTCTCCTATAAACACTGATCATTACAAATTTCCTTTTCAAATCTTTTTTCTTCAGATTAACAAAACCTTGGTGATTAGAATATGTAGATTCTGATAAGATTTGAATTATGTCTACTATTACTAGACTAGCATAGTATCAATAAGAATGATGAGGTTATTTACATAGGAATTGCCACTTCTGTTGAGGGTCAGAGTAGCTATGTATTCTACTTCAGATCAAAGCATCATTTCACCAGCACTTTGACTTCAGATCAGTGTAGCATCTGTGCACTTTGGGAAAAGTAGTGTATTCACATTAAATTTTAGTATACAAAAATATAGCATAGAGAAATCAGATGCAAAAAGATATAGCTAGATTTAATTTTTCCTTGGTCTCCATATCCAAATTAATTAATCTGGGGCTAATTCTTTGTTCCAAATTCATATTGATTATTAGTCATAAAATATGAAATGACCCTATGAAAAAGCATCAGCAATAAGATTAAAATAAAGACTAAATTCTTAAGAAAATAATAATAAAAGTGCTTCATCTATAAATTTGGGACATCTTAAGTTTATTTTATCACATATTTACAACCATATTTGTAAAGAAAGAAATTTGTTTACTAAAATTTTGATGTAGACCAGAATATTGTTGTTTCTTTGAATTTATTTTTGCATTCTTACATTTTCAGGATTGTTCTGGATTATGGTGGTAGTGATATTACACGTTGTTTTCAGTGGTTGCTTGCTAAATCTGGATTTAATCCACAACACTTGAAACTCTCCGACACAGTTGACACAACAATATTGCAAGAGTTCAAGGAAACATTTTGCCATTTAGATCAGGTGAAAAGTCTAAAATCTTTTTTTTTTTTTTATGATGGGCTTTTTGTATTTATTTTATTTAGCATCATTCTTAACAGAATTTTAAAAAAAATTTTTATCTAAAAAAAAAAAAATCAAGTTGATAAAATAAGATTAAAATTAGCCAAAGAGAAATGAATGTAATTACAAAAGTTTAAAATTTTTTATTTTAAAAGGATTGCTGCATAAAACTTCAGTGACTGCTCACTGTTCATCATGTGTACATATTATATTTATAATAGCTCACCTATGTCAGTAATTCTTGCATTATTTCCTGACAATTTGTTTCTTCCTCACTTTCAATACATATAACAGCCCTATTTCTTTCTGTAATGCATGTATTAATTCCTAACCATTTATAACTTTCCTGATTTTCTATGCACAGCATACAAATTAAGTATTAAAACTTACTAAAACAAATATTTAGCTTGCTAGTGCAGAAAAATCATTAAACTGAAGAATAGTGGTAAAATCAGCAGAAACTGATGAAAAAAAATCCCTGAAGCCTTACAGAGATATACCAGGTTCAATTGTAATTAATACTAAAATACAATTGTGATTATGATTTTATCCCTCACTCACCCTATAATTGTGATTTAATATAGGTAATAAGTAGATGTGAATTGAAGATTTTCAGAGATCATTTCTCTAATATAAAACAATGTTTTGTGATATTGGATGGCTTCACTTGTCACTTTTGCTATGTGAAGTGAAAGCTCATTATCCCTTCCAACAATGCCTGTTATATTCACAATTCATAGACGCCGGTACTAGTAGCAGCACCTTTCAGTAATCTGCACTAATAATACTGGTTCAAGTAGTAATTGCCAAGTAGTATAATGATCAGGAGAGAATCATAATCCGTATAGTACTAGAGAGAGTAAACATATAGCAATAGTGGATAGACAAGAAGAGTGATCTGTATAGTGATAGAAGAGAAATAGTGATCATTTAGTCAACACACTACGTTTCAAACCACTGTCGGCAACAACATTTACTCATATACAGCACCTCCTCTGGGGTCTATATTTTTTTTTAGCTTTGGTTAAAAACTCTGTTGTCCTTCTTTTCCTTTTGCCATAAATGTTGTAGGAGCGTTGAATGTGTTGTACAGGATTTCCATTGGTACTTCCGTTTGGGGACTTTCTAATTTGGTGAAGCGACATTTTAGGTGGTTAATATGTCGCTTGTGTTCCCACCTTTGTCCTTGTATTATGTATGTCATTCTGCCAATATGTTTCTTAATAACGCCATCTTGCCAAAATTTCTTCCTTCACTTATATATCCAGAAAAATACTTTTTCTCTAGGTTTGAAATAAATATTTGTGTAGTTACTTGTCTTGCACTCAAGTAGCAGCTTATTGAAGACCAACTTTATTTTCCTAGTGAACATCAATTCTGCCAGTGACATTCCTGACATGGTGTTTGGGTTTGGCATAATACGATAAACACTTAAAAACTGTTGAATCATAATCTCGTCCAACTCCTCTCCTTCCGATTTCCTTAAAGCCCTCTCCTGTTAAACATGTCAGCAAAATGTTCTGCTAGTCTAGGATACAGGGGAGTAGTAATGTGTTCAATTGCTAGTGACTTGCAAAAGAACTTGAATTCACTGGACTTAAATTGCGTACCATTGTCAGACACAATTAAGTCAGGAACGCCAAATCTCACAAAAATTTCATGCAAGAAATTAATAGTTACTGTGGTAGTCGGTCTCCTGCGTTTTAGTACTTCTGGCCATTTTGTAAAGCTATCTACTACTACTACCAGATAGTAGCTCCATTTATTGGTCAAGCAAAGTTAATATGAATCCTAGACCATGGTCTATCAGTTGTTGGCCAAGTTTGAACTTTTATAGGCAGTGACTTTGCTGCCAGGACACCACCTTTGCATAATTTTACTACATTTTCTATATCTTTATCCATATTCAGCCAGTAGGTGTAGCATCTCATTAGAGATTTAAATCACTGCTCTAATCCCTGTATCACTTGCATCAGATGCAACGACAATTTTCAGGTTAGGGTCAGTGATAGCTCTGATGTTGATACTTTCTTAATCTGCTCGAACACACTTTGACATTTTTCTGTCCATTTCCACTTGACATCTTTCTTCAGTAGATTATTTAATGGTGCTCCCAACTTGTGCATATTAGGTATATTTGTATAATAATAGTTTGCAAAACCTAAGAATGCTTGTAGTTTTGTAATATTAGTTGGTGCCAGCATATCCTTTATCACGCTTGCTATTGCAGGATCCAGTCATCTGCCAGTCTCATCAATAATCTGCCCTAGATATTTGAGTTTGGACATGAATAACTCACACTTTTCTTCACTTATTTTGAAGCCATAATCTGATTCTTTCAAAGACTTTCTTTAAATCTTCAGCATGTTCGTTTTGGGTTTTGCTTTTTACCAATATGTCGTCCAAATATGCCTGAGCACAATCCAACCCAGCCAGTATGGTATCCACTAGTTGTTGGAATATAACTGGTGCAACATTTACATCAAAAGGAAGACTTGAATTTATAATAATCCTCTATGGGTGTTAATAGTTAGTAATTTTGAACAGTTTGTCCACAAGTATTTGTAAGTATGTGTCTGAGAGGTCCACCTTTTGAGAAAAATTTACCTCCATTCAGTTTTGCAAAAATTTTCTTCTGGACTAGGTAATGGGTAATTTTGCTGTAGTAGAATTGGTAACAATATTTATGTTATTACAAAATGAGTTAATAGGTATGTTCCACAGATCAAATAATGCCATCCAATCTGTACCAAACAGATTAGGTGTGTTTTTCAACACAAATACTGCTGTTTTTTCTGGTTTTCCTGACAAACAAAACGTTACAGCTGAATTTGCGTAAAAAGTTTTTTTCTTGAGACTGCATAAAAGATTTTCTCAGAAGTTAATAACCTGGGTTTACCTGTTTTCTTCAAAGTCTGCTTGTTAATAATAGTTATATCTGATCCTGTGTTTAATAGCAACTTAATTTTCAGACCATTTATTTGCACAAAAACATATTTCCTCTTTTGCAAAGTGTAATTAATTTGCCTTTTGGGTTTCTTATTATTGCATGTATTAATTCTGTTCACATGTGTTTTATTTCTTCTCCATTTTTTGGATCTGCAACATGCACTCTTATGTCCTAATTTCCCACACACAAAGCACTTCTTGTTTCTGAAGATACAATTCTTTTTTAAAATACTTACCACCACAACCATGGCAAATGTTAAGTATTGAGCGGGTTTTTTAGTCTTTCTTTATAGTTTTATCAGGAGTTGGAAAATGTTTGTAATTTTTCCTCTTAGTTGCTCAGACACTCTGAACATGTGAATTTTCTTTTTCTTCAATCCTTGTGGTATCAAGCTTTAAATTCACAGTGTGTTGACACTCTTCAGCTATTTTCTGGATCCATTTCCAGTTTAGAAAGTATCCTAGATCTAATCTTTGCATCCTTGTTAGATGTTAAGCCCTGAACAAATATCAAGCATTTAAACATATCAGAAGTTCATTCAATTTAAACTTTTTGCATTCCTGATTTACGAGTCCTGTGTACGTGACAAAATCTTCATTGAATTTCACTAAATTGAGACATTGCCAACATATATTAAACAGCAAACTCCTGTTTCCAAATATTTTCAATAGTGTTAAGACAGTCTCATCAAAAGTTATTTCTCCCAGCTTCTTCGGCAAAAAGTTATTTCTCCCAGCTTCTTCGGTAAAATGTAGTTTACATATTTTTCATGCTCAACAGGGGATAATTTCCTCAACAGCAACCAAACTTTTTTCTCATCACTCCAATGCGCACAATCCTTTTTAAAGATTCCTTCACATCTTCTATAGTATGATGGGAAAGTTATTCCTTCATCTGGATTGTACAGAAACTCTGTGATTGAATTAGTAAACGCATCAGAAATTGTTTTAGTTGAACAACTCAAAGAACTTTTGTTGCTATAATTGTAATTGCAACTGCTGTTCATTGTGTTGTTTTTGCTGCTCTAATTGTAGTTACTGCTGTAGTTTCTGTTGTTACAGCATTTGAACCATCAGGGGCTTTAATTCTTCCATTCTTCTGCTGAACTCTGCTGAATATTTCTTTGTGGATTAATTTTTTCTGTCCATGTAAGTTCAAGGAATGCTCATGAATCCTTGCGAATCCTCATTGCCACTTTTGTGATATTGGACAGCCTCGATTATCACTTGCTATGTCAAGTGAAAGTCGTTATCACTTCCAACAATGCTCATTATATTTGAGACTTTGTACATGCCAGTAATAGTAATGCCTTCCAGTAATAACCGCAAGTAGTAATACTGGTTCAAGTAGTAATCACCAAATAGTATAATGATCAGGTTAGAATCATAATCCATATAGTAGTAGAGAGTGTAAACGTATAGCAATAGTGGATAGACAAGAAGAGTGAACAATAATCTGTATAGTAATAGAGTAGAAATAGTGATTAGTTAGTCAACATGCTATTCATATTTATTCACTTCCTTTCTGATTATGTGATCTACTTAATAATGGAATTGCCCATGTTGCTCACTGGTGATCTACTTTCAAACCACTAATTTGGTGAAACGAGTTTATGGTAAATATCTCTTTTTGTTCATTTATAAACTATTACTATAGTCTTATTTCAATTGAACAAGAATAAATGAATATTACTCAAACAATTTTGTTGTTAGCACTTCTAGCATGTTTGAGGTATGTTTTGATTGTTTGAAATACTTTTTGTTTTATTCTGTATCTTTATATAAAAGCTAGAGTCCATTACTTTGTAATGCACAAAACATGTCATGGTTTGTTTGTAGTTTTGCTTGTCTATATATGAAGAAAGCCCACTTAAATTTACAATCATCTTATTAGGTAGCTGAAGTGTGGATAACCAAAAATATTGAAACCTGATATTAGCAACAATGGCAGAAGTATATTCCCAACATTAAAACACTGTCATATGATTGTGGATTACACTCTAGTCTTATAAGATAATCATGTTTTTTTTGTATTTACATTAAGAATGTTCATTTATTTTTTAAGCACACAGCTTTAATTACTATGTATTAATATTTTGATTTCTGTTGAGATTATACCCCAGTTGAATTAAAGATTTTGTTAATTATGCAAATATACTTCATATTATAGGTATGGAATATAAAAGATTTTCTAGATATGTGTCCAAAGACTTTAATCTTTTTTAAACAAACATGGCTAAGTAAAAACACATATTTCTATAAAAGATATTTGCCAACAGACAATTTCATAATATAAAAATAAATTTAGAAATAATCAAAACTTATAAAAAGAAAATTGAATTAGTGGATGTAAATGAAGCTTTTAAATATATCAGAATTCTCTAAATTTATCTTTCAGGTCTGTTATTAAAAATTTTTAAATTTTCATTTTATTTAATTCTTTCAATTAGTTACAGTATTGATAATTTGCCTTTTTCTTTTTGCAGCAACAAGATGGCATCTATGAACATTCCATCCAAATCAAGAAGCCACAAAGTTTGATAATTAAGTATAGCTGTGTGAAGCTTGGAGATGAGTGTATTCTGGCCCCTCTCAGTCTCTTCTTTATTGACATGCTGTCTCTGCAGGGCTCTCATTTGTGCCATACTCAGCAGCGCTTTGAAGGGGATTCTGATGATCCTCACGACGACTTCTACTTATTACAAACGCAGAGTCAACAGCAACAGGTCAGGAGGCAACAATATTGTTTTTCTTTGATTTAAAGTGTGTTGTTACAAATTATCCAATCAAGTTTATTTTCAATTGTTGATTGTATTGCCAGTTAATCAATTCCCCAGTGATTAATTAATTTGATATTTGTATTTCTTGGTTAGAATAGAAGTGAATTAATAATTGAATTTTTTCAAATTAGAATCTGTTAAGAGATTGAAACATCTGTTTGGTATGAAAAAATGTTTAAAACTTTTTATATTTTCTCCTTTTGGCTCAAATGAACTTGCTATTTAGTTTAAAAATGTCAATTTTCATTGGCAATTAGAGAAAATAAAAGTATATAAATTATAATATCTATGTTCTTATGGTAAATCTATATTAAATAATTAAAGGATGAAAAGGAAAAAATTCCATGTAATGCGTTTTGTCCCCTAAAAGAACTTCATCAGATTAAAGTAGTTATCTCTAAAGATTTGCTAAAAGATAAACATACATGATGAAAAAATGACAAAACTTAATAAAAACATTTTTATCATTAAAATCTTTATTAAGAGACAAGACCAAAGGATTTTTTGATCATTAAATTATTTTTTTTGATCCTTTTTAGAACGTTAAAAATTTTGGTTAAACACTGTGACCATAAATTTGTATGAGAAATTTGAGCATCTTTTAGTAGCTATTTCTCTACACCTGCAGATATTCTTTTTATAGAGATTTTACTTAGACTGGCACAAGGCCAAAATCGTGGATTACCTGTGAAAATCAAATTTGAGACATGAACTTGTGGATCATCATGCTTTTTGTAAATGATATGCATTTTTGGAATCTGATTTGTATTTTTCTTCCTTATTCAGGCTGCTCGCTTGAATGCAGCTCGGAAGAAAGAAAATACTGAGGCCAGCCTCAACCAGCTGGACACATCGTTCAACCAGTATGAGGACACCAACCTAAGCCACCCGCAGCTAGTTGATGAGGATTCCTATGATGGCCCTGACAACTTCTCTGGCAGTGATGCTTTCAAAGGAGAACGGAAATTAGAAATTGAAGAAGAGGAACCACAGGACTCAAGTCCTGAGTTACAATTGATGGGCTTGGATCAAGCCATTCTCCACAGTATTAATAAATTAAGTATGTAAATTTTTACTACTTGTTTTCTATTGATTTTTTTTAATTCCCACTGGGTGGCCAGTGATGTTTTAATTGCTGGGTTAGAAAAATATTCTCTATTAATTGTCATTTTTTTGCTACAGCCTGCAATTATTTATTTTCCTTTATAATTCCTTTTAATTTTTATTACAATTATTATTTATTGACATGAAAATATTTTTGAGAACTTATAGCTGTATAGGCATATTTTTTTTATCTCCAGTCATTTCCAAAAGGTTTGGGAGGTATAATGTTCATGGTTTTTTATTATAACTCTTTGCACAGTTTAACATACATTTTTACTTATTTATTAAGTAAATACTGCTCTTTGCCTGAAATATTCACAGTTCAGTAGAAAAATTCTTATTTCAATTGTTTTGTTTTTGTGATTGTTGTTTTATTGCTTTTGAGTGATTTTTTTTTTTTTTTTCTTTTCAGGTAATGATGAAATAAAGAAAAAAATGTACAGCTGTATCCTTGTAATTGGTGGGGGCTTAATGTTTCGAGGGGCACAAGCATGGATACAGCATCGTTTATGGTCTCAATTGCCTACTCAGTTCCGTTACACTTTAGAAGCAATGGATATCATCACAAGAGCAAAGGTAAAATGGTTCAGATGCTATAGTATAAAGGTAGCGTGATAATTCATGTGCATGGGTGATGCAGTTATCCTTCCCTATCTCTCTTTCTCATATATAATATGATAAAAATATAGTTTAAGGATATGCTGTATTTATGGCTAAAAGATTGCCTGAAGATTGTGTTCCAGCATGAAACAGATTGTCGCCACTTGGTGTTGACCTCAGTGTCCACTTTTGTATTTACACATGCCCTATCTCTGATATTGAACACTTTTACCCATAAATATAGCATGCCTTATAACCATATTTTTTATCATATATATAAAAGGAAGTGGTTATAGTAGTTCCAATGAGAGAAAAGTGTGTATAATAAAAAGAAAAGAGAAACCGCAAACGTTTTTGGTTGTAATGTGGATTTTTTTGAAAATATTATGCTTTATTTTCCATAATTTTGCTACATGCGTTTCAGGTCTCGCGACCGTCATCAGGCAAAGGGTGGAGATTTCCACATATTATTAAAAAATAATTTTTTTATTTTTCCATTATGTTTTTCGATGTTAAATATTCTTGATATGAGAAATTCTCTTTTTTTGGGGTGTTAGTGACCTAAATGTCTTTCTTGAACTGGCAGTGAAAAGTTCTCCGTGAAGGGTTATAAAACAATTAAGATTGGTCCGAGAAATGATGGAGTAGTTATCGGCATTCTTATCTTTTAATGACGCCTGTGTGTTCTTAGATCTATCTCCATTTTCATGTGTTTTTGTCAGCATGTGTGTATATATGTGTATATTCCCTCTCCATACATACACACTGTCTCACTATGAAGAATCATTGAGCACATTTGTACACATACACTGTGGCGAATAAAGAAAACAGCAACCAGCAAGTAAATTCAAGCTCTCCCAACTGGTATTTCAACCTCGAGTTGTTCCTTGTTGAGTTCTGTCTCAAAATCGCACTAACAGACTTTTCTAGCCGCCAACCGTGAACGTCACTCGAAGAACTCTCCCCACTGAGAAAAAGTAGTTACTTTTATATTTGTCCATATACCCATAATCCCTTGCGTCTTCATGTGATCCCATAATTCATTGCATCCCTGTCCCATAATGCATTGCATTTTTATGCAATAAAAATGCAATGCAAGTCCTCCCTCATTCTTTTACGTTATCCGGCCGAGGACGGATTACGGCAGAGTGGTAAGTGCTTTTTTCTCCCTCATTTCATCTGCAGTAGCTTTACATGCTAAGCAAATACGGACTCTTTTTTGGCGGGGACAAGGTAAGTCGCAACTAGTTGTGCTCGTCCCAGGTTCTGTCTCATGTCTGCCACATACACACACATACTGTCCTATTATAAGGAATCAGTATGTGCACGCACATACACACTTCCCAAGTTACATGGAATCAGTACACACACACACACACACATACTACCTAAGTTGTATGAGGTTTGTGTGTATGCCTGTGAGTAGTTCTCCTGCTTTTGTCAATATGTGTGTGTGTGTATATATATATATATATATATATATATATATATATACACACACATTTTTTGTGTGGGGTTATGATCTATTTAGTTCTGGTTTAAATTTTTTTTCTTGTATTTGTAGGTAAGAATAATTGTCTGTTTGATATATTGGCATAATTTTAAATTTTCCCTGGTTACATTTGAAGATGTGTTGTGATACAAAAAGTTTTCTGTTGTCTGGTAATTTTATGTTGCGTTTGTGTAGGGAGACCCTGATGTTTAGTTGTTGACTGATACCTATATATGACGACTTGCATTTTGATCACTTTAAATATTATATTTAGTGGATACGTGTGTTTGAGTAGACATCACTGTTTTTTAAACAGTATAATTCTGTTTACTAGCCTGTTTCGGGCCTGCTGGAAAGGTACATTTTCTTTATTATAAAATGATATTATTTTTCCAGCAAGGTCAAACCTGCATTCCCCTTGTAGGAGAAACCACTGTTAAACCTTTAGCCAAGTTAAAATATTTCTTAATATTTCCAGAATTAATTTTATTAAACAAGACATTTACTGTTTTGTTTCAGTATTTTATGTCATCTTTTCAGTAATTTCATAATTCCATCTTCAAGTAATTTTTATCTTTCTCAACAAAGAACTTGTCTAAGAGCCATTTGCAATTTTTCAGGCGGTTGATTTTTTTTTCATTAGGTAATTCTTTAGAATAAATGGTAATCTGAAGGTAATATTCTTCTGAATATGGTGGATGACTGTAAAATTCTAATCCAAGTTGTAACAAATTTTGCCTGGTCACCAAAGAAACATGTGACAACTTGTCAGAATTTCATACCCTTTCTCATAACCAATTCTGGATATTTCTCATCAACTGATCCCATCATTTGATCCAATTGGGAACTGTACTTATTTGAATTAATATATCCGTTCTCTAGAACAAGAGCATAATAAAGAAATCCCTTCCAATCCCAATATAAACACAGCATCACTTTTGATAGTGGTTCATTTCACTTGTTCCCTGATCTTTGCATTTCAAGTTGTAACGTATTTACATTTTAGCTACTGATATAATGGAACATTCAGTCATTCACAGAATTATCTTCACAAACCTTTTTGTGTCTGTTACATTCCTACCTTTCTTAAAATGGAAAAACCCAGCATACTAAAAGGTTGCTAATTTTAACATCTTCAATGTTAGAATCATTAAACAAAAAATACAGAAATTTTGACAGTATATTTTTAAATACACGCAAAAGCAATCTTCTTGAATTAATTTAAAACTGTACTCTTAACATTTAATACATGCAGTATTTGTTGTTTTTGAAATATTGAATTGAATATTGAAGAGTTTATACATGTGTAATGCTATTTTGTTTATTATATTTGCAATTCAGTTACACTACTATACAGATTAGAAACTAGTTTTAATAAGACATTTGATCAATTTTGTCAGTTAAGCTGAGTCAACAGATATAATTACATTTACATTATAAAAGAATTATTGTTCAAAACTATTAAGTAATGAATCTGATTATGTTGATCAGAATGTTTTATTTATTAGTTTCTTCAGAAGTCACTCAAGTCATTGATTCAATTACTTTTACTTTTTCAATGGTAATAACAAATTCTCATGTAGATCAGTTCAGTAATATTTAATCCTTATTGGCTAATCACTTCTAAACTAAGCTATGCCAAGTATATAAATACACACACACAAGGAAGGATCAATTAGTCTGTGTAGCCTATTACAGTTATTGAATTTTGATTTGAAATATTCACTGTATAATGTTCAGTGTATGTGATCTATAGAAAAAAGTGATAGGATTGTTGAAAAATATCTTGTGAAGATGTGTATTGAGATTAATTAAGCAGTTTTCTCACATGTATTTCTTCAGTCAAATTTTGAAATTATGTCAACATGCATGTTTTTGATTTAGCTAAGTAAAAAAAATGTTGTTTTTTCGCCTCAGGATATGGACCCAACACTTACATCATGGAAAGGAGCAACTGTCCTCTCCTGCCTTGACACAACCCAGGAACTATGGATTCGACAGAAGGAATGGCAAGAGTGGAGTGTACGCATGTTAAGAGAGCGGGCTCCTTTTGTTTGGTAATCAGCTGTATCATTTGGACACTTCAAGTAAAGTTGGCTATTTATCATAAAATACCTGAAGAAGTACAGGTATTTTAAAGAATGTGCTCCTCTTGTCCATATTGTAACAGCAATTTACTATTGCTTATTTGACAAATGGGTGTTTTTTTCTTAATAGCCTCTTGAAGTTAGTGCTCTCTCTCTATCATGGTTGACAATTCTCCACAGGTTGGTATGAGGGTTGATATTTCATTGCTTTTATCACATTAAAATAAAAAATGATAAAAAATATTCACTTTTCATTAATTGTCAAGCAAAATGTCATTCACATTTTTAAACACTTTTTCAAATGAAAACATCAATAAAATGAAGCATTTTAACTTTGTTTTTGTTCTTTTTCTGTGATTAAAACAACCAACATGTTTACAACTTATGTTCTTTATTACAATGTCTACTATGATTTACCTTTTTTCTTTTCATTTTTACCCGATAGTTTTCTCTAGAACAATAAGAGCAAATTTGTTTTCATCATCATAAATTTCACAGATTTATAGGAAGATTGTATCTTTAAAAATAATCAACTTTATTATTTTTTTTACAAGATTACCTATCAGGACAGTAGATAAAGTTAGAATGATCATTGTGTGTATGATAAAGCAAAGAATGGCATTTCAAAATTAGGAAAAGGATCAACTTTAACAAAATTCTTTTTTTTACTTGTTAATAGAAAAGTTTCTGTATCACACAGAAAACTGAGATCAGACAATCTTGACTGTATCAATGACAGCTCCTTTCTAGACAAGCACAGTACAAATCCAATATTTTTTTTTTTTTTTACTTAGGATTGATCCTTAGATAACACTTTCCCTATTATGTAAAGAGAATGAGAGTCATTGGTATACTCTGATGCCTTTTGTTAAGCAATCCAGAAATTTTCTTGCTGAAATGTATACTTTACTTTACATCTTGTGAGGATTGAAAGATAAATATGTAGTAAATGTCTTACATACCCTATTATCAAATCTTTATTCATTTATTGTTTGATAGTTCCTATGACATGGAGTGTATTAAATCACTTTTAAAACTTTAATTTTCAGTACAATTAGTGTCATTTTTAATGACAAATTTATAGTGACCAATCTTTAAAAATTTGCAATATTTAAGTGATGTTATTCATAATTGGGAAAACAGTTGACTGATTTTTAGTATATCCTCTTTTGATAGATATTCAAATTATTAAGGCAAATATATAAGAAATACAGTCATGGTTTGAGTTGTACAGTTTCTAGCTAATGTGCTGTAGAAATATAACCTAGGCCAGTCTTAGTCTAAATAAATTATGCCTAAGTTTAAATCTCTATGATTTGTTACATTTTGTTTTTGCAAAGTTTACTTGCCCAAATATATTGAATAGACGTGTGATTTCTTCTTTTTTTAATTAGTATTTTAAAAGATGTAAAACTTTGAATAAACATACAGAAAATTTTATAAGTAAAAGAGAATGTTTGTGTTTATTTTTTTTTATTAGTCAGTGAGGTACAATTTGAAATTTACTAGACTTAGATTAAGCAAGGCCAAATAGGGGCAGAGAAGAGTATTACATAATTTTCTATATGGGGAATGTCTGACTTTTTATGTGCTTGAACCATAACCTCTGGCATTGGTGGGAAATATACAACTATTTCAGCCACAAAGCAAGTTAGATATTGTTATACTAGAACATACCTATTCTATTGTAAATAGACTCTCCCAGATATAATAAGTAGTAGTAGTAGCAGTCGCCAGGGCTCAGAGTGAGTTGGTGAGTCAGTCGATGTTGATGTATCAACCACCACAACTAGATTGCTGTGTCATTAACGATTATTTCAAGTTCCTAATGTTTTGTACATCGAACCTCTTTTAGGACAGACTTAGTGAAATACAAGCCTCCACTGAGAAAACTACTCTACAACACATTGACGACGAGGGATTCGTTACTCATATGGAGAAAAGAAAGATTTTTCGTTCACTCTATAACAACTTTGGTGACCAGGATTCGAAATTCATACGGAAAAAAAAAATTTTTAAAGAAGAAAAAAAAAAAATTTGTTTCGCTATATACAACACTTGGCGATGAACGTATTTTGGATTCATACGAAAAAAAAACAACTTTTCGTTCACTCTACAACACTTGATGACGTGGATTTGTAACTCATACAGAAGAGAAAAAAAAAGATTCACCTGCCATAACAAACGTGGCATACAAGGGATTCAGATTCATATAGTGAAAGAAAAAAAAAATTCACTCGCGTTATTTGGTGACGAAATTCGTTGATACGGAGAAAAAAAAAATCCTCGTCAAATTTTCGGCGACAACATCTCTGATTCACATTTAAAAGTTTTTCGAAAGACAAGACGCCAACTTAGTGGCGAAAAAATCAGTCGTATTCTCCACTGAGAAAAGAATTTTTTTTTTCTTGATAAGACAGTTTGCGCAAATAGGTCACGAATTGCAAATTCGTTTTGGACCCCCTCTACAATATTTAAGTATTGTGTAAACTTTTTGCGAAGATGGAGGAATGCAAAAATATATTCCAGGAATTTTTTAAGTTCCAGACGGAACAACAAATGACAATATTAGAGCAACAGAAAACATTCCAGATGCAACTACAGGAAGAAACTTTTAATAGACAGATGCAGTTTCAACGAGAAATGGAACTGATGCATAAGGAGTTTCAAAACAAAATTCTGGAAATAACTGAGAAGAGGAAAGAAAGATTTACAAAATGATTCTTTCCCAGAGAATACAATATGGAATTCGATTGAAATATTCACATACAGTCCAGATGAAGAGATAACTTTTGAAGAGTATTATAAAAAATATACAGACGTGTATAACGAGGACTGCCACACGTGGTCTGAAGGAAAGAAGGTTAGGCTTCTTTTAAGCAAGTTAGGAACTGCTGAGCATAACAAATTGGAAAACTACATTTTACCGAAAAAAAAAACTAGCGAGTTGACTTTTACCGAGGTGGTAAATATATTAAGTGAATTATTTAGTAAAAAGACATCTTTGTCTCACAAGAGGTGGAAATGTTTGAATCTGATGAAAGATGAAGAACAAGACTATATAATGTATGCAGCCAATGTGAATAAGCATTGTGAAGAATTTAAGCTAGCAGAGTTAAGCGCTGACAACTTTAAGTGCTTAGTGTTTGTTCAAGGGATGGTATCTGAAAGAGACGCAGAATTGAGAAAATTGGTACTTTCAAAATTGGAAAACCAACAAAGTCTTACGATACAGAGTTTGGCAGAAGACTGCACAAGATATGTTAGCGTAAAGAAAGATTAAAAAAAGATAGAACAGTCTAGCGTTTCACATGTAAGGAAAATACGCTACGAAAAAGAAAGTCAGTCTACCAAAAAGAATTCTAAAATTGCGGATTATCAAGCAAAAAGTGAAATACCAGAGAAAAATAAACAAAAACTCCCAAAGCCATGTTTTGCTTGCGGTGAACTATACTGGTACAGATATTGCAATTTTAGGAATAAAAAATGTTTCAACTGTAAAAGAGTGGGTCATAAAAGCTTGCACTGCTGGTCAAAAAATAAAGACAATAAAATAAGAAAATTAAAGTCCCACGAGGTGAACGATGGAATAACCAGAAAATTTGTTACTGTCAAAATAAGTAATAAAAAAATAAAAATGCAACTCGACACTGGTTCCAACCTATCTATCATAAATTTGCATACGTGGAAGAAGTTTGGGAAACCAACTTTAATGAAGACAAATAAAATCGCGAGGTCAGTGATGGGAGAAAAAATGCATTTTACTGGAGAATTTGTTACAAACATCACGTTAAATAAAAAAAACCGAAAAGCTAAACTATTTGTCATAAAAAATACCATGAACTTACTTGGTACGAATTGGATAACAGAATTTCAATTATGGGATCTACCAATAAATTCTTTCTGTTACAAAGAAAATTTAAATTATGAAGCCCAAAAATTAGTAAGGAAACTTAAGGAAATATTTCCTACTGTTTTTTCTGCAGGTTTGGGAACGTGTACCAAGATAGAGGCAAAATTACAGCCAAAACAAAACGCTCAGGTGGTATTCAAAAAGAAAAGGAATGTGCTGTTTGCTTCAATTGAACAGATAGATAAAGAATTGGACAGATTAGAGAAAACCGGTGTATTTAAAAAAGTTGAATGGGTAACACTGACGATATATGTGAAAAACAAGCTTCAGAAAGTAAAAATGAAATCGACACCGAAAAAAACTGGGGAGCGAGTTACCCGCAGCCAAGGACATGCAGTATTATTAAATGATTTAAGTCAACAAGAAGAACCTACAAAAACTGTGACTCCATCCTTAAGATGCTCAAAGCGGAAGGTTGTTTCTGGTAACACCATGGAGGTATAAAAAAAAAAAATTAGAAAAGCGGATTGGCTATATGATGTACTTGGTGAAAGGGGAAAAACTCACACACGAGATCAGACGACGTTTTTCAGACATGGTTGACAGCGGTCCCACGGAAAAAGAAAAAAAAAATGCCAATGGAGGTGATTTTCAATACATTTGATCTAACAACGCCTGCAAATAATTTTACCTGAGGTACGCTGATCCAGAAGAAAAAAGAAAGGCAACGGATCATTTAAAAGTGGATCAAAAAACGTAGGATGTTGCTTAAAAAAAAAAAAAAAATTTTTTTTGTTGTTTTTTCTTCATATTTTCTGTAAAAAATGAAAAATAAATAAATAAAACTTTTTACTCCTACGGAGTAAAGTTTTAGGGGGGATGTTATACTAGAACATACCTATTCTATTGTAAATAGACTCTCCCAGATATAATAAGTAGTATTAGTAGCAGTCGCCAGGGCTCAGAGTGAGTTGGTGAGTCAGTGGATGTCGGACATTAAAGTATCAACCACCTCAACTAGATTGCTGCGTCATTAACGATTATTTCAAGTTCCTAACGTTTTGTACGTTGAACCTCTTTTAGGACAGACTTAGTGAAAACTACTCTACAACAGATATTTA